ACTTTAATCAGATCTTCCATGTTTTCATTTGTCATGTGTGTACATGACCTTATTGAAGTTAGAGGTACCATCTCTCAGTCAAAATTGCTTCCGTTCATCTCATTGCAGTAGGATGAAAATCTATGCCCTCTTCATTCACAAACACTCTTAACCTGTTCTGTAGGACACTAGATTAGATGCTCTGCTGATTAGCAGTTGGGGCATCTTGGACAGTGACTTCTCTAAGTTTCAGTGTCCTCATGAGTAAGAGGGGAAAGATGGTGCCTCTATCCGAATGTGTTTGTGAGATCTAAGAGGGACCATAATATTATCTAAAATGTACCGAGCACTTATTCTGTGCCAGATGTCTTGCCCAGGACTTTGTGAGTATCTATTGTTCCTAAAAGTCTGGAGTGCAATTGTAGCCAGATCATGGAAGGCATGAGCTGGGATTTGAATCTGGTCAGTAGGACTCCGAAGTCCATGATCTTATGCCTCTCACCAATCTTCAGCCAACCTGTGTTCCAGTCAAGCATCTCTTTGATGCCTCCTTCCCCCTCTCAGGAGATTTCCTTTCCTTTGGAATTCACATCCCCTACTTGTGCATATTGAAATCCTTCCCTTCTACCAACACCCTCTTGGCCCTAGAAGCTTTTCTTGGTTACCCTCCTTGGAATTCTCATAGCACTTTGCACAGGAGAATTTGAGAGCAGGGAACTCTCTAGACATCATTGTATCCATCCTTTCCTCTCCAATTTAATTTGCACTCATTAAGTATTTATGGGACCGATATATAATTATCTTATAACCTAGGGCTCTCCCCCGCCCTTGGTTTGTAGAGTCTTGGGGGAGGACAGGAACACAGGACAGGAACACACTCTTACCTGGTCACCAGTCCAGGTGAGATGCACAGCGGTCCCTAACTTAGGAGCTGCCAGGTCCCTGCTCTGTGCCATCCTATGACTTAGGTGGCCTCCAGGTGACTAGCTTGGGCCGAATGCAGGAAACCTCAGGCCTCTACTGATGGGAACAAGACTGTTTGCAAAGGCCATGGCAGCCCACTGGAGGACTCACACAGTCTTAAATTTGGAATAAATGCTCCTTGGTAAACCTAGACTCGTTTATCACTGAGCTCTCTGTGGGTCAAGGCTAGAAATGCTAGTTAAGAAGGAAAAGAGCTGGGATGAGCTGATGTGTTGGGAAATTCAGAGCTGCCTCCAATTAATGCGAATTCTGCTTCTCTTATGAAATTGTTTTTTCTGGCACACCTTTAGTTTTAGCTCCACTCAAACTTCACATCCTCTACCTCTTCGACTCCTGGGGGTGTTCAGTGGTTACAAGAAAAAGGGAGACTCTCTGATGAAGCATTTCCATACCGGCTGTAGCTCTGAAGGGCTTAGTGAACTCGTGTCTCTGTGTCATGGCACAGACAGGGCTGCGGAGGTCTTAGGTCATCTCCGGCCCTTGGGGAGCCCGCTGCCCGGACGAATGCAAGACCATTAGTAGAAATGGACATTTTAAATCCAGGCATTTAAACTGTAATCCTACTAAATAATTTGTTTCCTGTTTTATATTGTTTGCATAGCAGAGGGGGTGGAAAAATGCAGAAATGTTCTCCAGTGTATTTCCTTCCTTCCACCCCCAAACCTGCTAAAGATACAGGGTGCAGATTTCATGCTGTTGGTAGAGTTACTCCCAAGGGTTAGATTTGTATGTGCTCAGTTACTTTCCTGGTAGGAATGGCACCTCATACTTTCTGTCACTAAAATGAAGGTGCTCAATGAACTGCTTGCTCACCTGTGGATTTCGTTACCCTGGTTTTGAGCTCTACCGGATTGTGGCCAGCAAATATTATGGTCCCCAGTGGGGGACTTACACCTCCATTTTTTTCTTCCCTTTTCCATTTTTTAGCTGCTGAAATCCTACTCCATCCTTAAAACTGAAATTGATCTTTTTGGTGGTTGCCCAAGACTGTCATTCTGTCAAATGAACGTGTGTGTGTTGTCATGAATCTTAGAGGCATCCGAGACTGTCGAGCGTGCATTCTTGAATCTTTCTCATGTGACCTCCTTTCTCTTTCTTTGACAGGAGATTTTGTTCTCAACCTTTTTCTTCCACTCTTTCTCATTGAGTGCATATCCATTTCTTTGGCTTCTCCTCCTCCCCCTACTCCCCCAGATATAAATCTAGTGCTGTTTTGTCACTTTTGTCCCAGTCCTGTATGTCCAGCTGCTCATAGGACATTCATCCATACTTAAATGACCCACTTTTCATCATGCATTCAAAGTCTCCCAAGGGACTCTATCATATTTGCCTACTCAAATCTCTTTTCTCAGCGATTCCATTTCCATCAATTACAACCTTATTCTTTCCAATGCATAGAAATACAAACTGAGAGGTCATTAGTGCTGTAGCCACTCTTTGACCCCATACACCCAGTCTGTCACCATCCCTCCCTGCCCTTGCATTTGTCCTTGTTCCCCAGCTAACACCAGCCCAGGCAATGGGTGCCCTTGGCAATGACAGCCTCCCAGGCTCCACCTCCCTCCCTGCCTTTCCCACTCCGGTTCTCTGTGCCCGCACCCCAGCCGTGGGGTCTCCCCCACTTCCCACCTCTCAAACTGGAGGTGGTCCCTGCTACTTGGTGAGTGAGACATGCACCCTTCTTGCTGTTCTCGACAATACACTGTGACGTCCAATCCCCTCTGCCCTCCCATTCTGTAATTAACGGATGAAATCCCCAAATCCTTGTTGGGTGCACTCTATGCAGAGCACGTCCCTGGCAGCCCTCACGTGGCTAGTAGTTTCTTCAACCCACAGGGATGAGTCCTTCTTCAGAATTCGTATTGTTCTTGTTGTCGTGACCCCCTTCAGTTACTCTGATACTTTTTCATGTATATTAGCTTTTTTGTTTTGTTTTTTAGACAGATTCTCACTCTGTTGCCTGGGCTAGAGTGCCATGGCATCAGCCTAGCTCACAGAAACCTCAAATTCCTGGGCTCAAGTGATCCTCCTGCCTCAGCCTCCCTAGTAGCTGGGACTACAGGCATGTAGTCCCACCATGCCCGGCTAATTTTTTCTATATATTTTAGTCGGCCAATTAATTTCTTTGTATTTTTAGTAGAGATGGGGGTCTCACTCTTGCTCAGGCTGGTTTCAAATTCCTGACCTTGAGCGATCCACCTGCCTCGGCCTCCCAGAGTGCTAGGATTACAGGCATGAGCCACCAAACCCAGCCTGTATATTAGTTTTAACTGCTTAACCAGATTGTAATATCTTTGGCCCACTGCTTTTTATCTGCTCTGCTAACTGTTTGCAATGTTAGTTGTGCATTATTTCTCATTGCTGTTAGTAGTATTCATGATAACTACTATTAATCTCTAATTATATGTAATTAAGATATAATTAGGATAATGCAATGAACCAGACATTGCATAAAGCGCTGTGTGCATTTTCTTATCTAATGAATAGGTATTCGGTGCATACTTAATTGACTTAAGGAAGAGACTTGCTCAGCGGTTCACCAGCTGTGGGTCTCCGGGAGCCACTTCTGTTGGAGACTCAGTTTCCTCCTCTACAAAATAGGGGACTGGCTGCCTGCTTTTTTCTGGGTTCTTTTCATTTCCAACACTGTGGGTTCAATTCAGTTCACTCGTGTTTTAGGGAATCCTTTCTGTGCACTCTGCACAGATTTGTTGCTTAGAGAAGATAAATATGACATGGCCCCTTCCCTTGGATGTTTTACCAGGTAGTGTAATGACAGGAAGCAGGGGTATCCGAGGGCTAGAGGATGAGAGAGAGTGGATGACATCATCAGGAAAACGTGGGGAGATTCCTGAGCCTCAATCTTCGTTGGAAGCTTCCTGAAGGAGGAGAGATTTCCGTTGGGTTTAAAGGAGCCAGTTGATGGAGTGGGAGTATTCTAGAAGTACCACTTGGCAGAACCAGTGGGCAAAACAAGCCATTCAGCAGGGAACAGAACCAGGGCTGTGTTTAGGACCAACTAAGCAGACATTTTGCTATATGCTAAAGTTAGAATGGTCACCCTATTGATGTCGCTTTGAGATAAATCGGAAGAATCTCCACTCTATATCATGAAACGATGTGGATTTCAGAGGAGTGAAACATTTGGATAGTCAAGATGGATGCCCAGATTAAAACCACTTACTTTGGCTCCCCGGTCCTGACTCATCAACCACAGGGGAGCTTCCGTTGCAGGCCTGATACATCTGGATTTGTCACTGTGTAATAGAATTAATGAGCATGACAATTGGCTAATGCTAATGTTTAATAATATTTATGCTGCTCTTCATTTCAATAAGAAATTGAAGAGGTTTGCAAATATATTTGCCATGGAACAAGATAAAAAAAAATTACAAGAGATATAAAAGAGAAAAGTAGAAATAATAGAGTGAAGTCAGAGGAAACATTTGAATGCCCAACAGCTCGAAATACTTTATTAGCCATCAACTGTATACTTAGAGGTCAAGTATGTTAATTGCCAATGCATATTTTTTTTTGCTAAAGGAAAATTTTTATTTTTAATATGATGTATCATCTCTAGGATTCTGAGCTAATATTCGGAGGCTTATCCTTATTGATGAAAGGGATTTGGGATATTGGATGAGGCTGTGTGCTTTCATTCATGCCGACGGCGTTTAGAAAGGAACTCATTAGAAACAGGCTGAGAGCGAAACAGCAGCCCCAGCAGCCCCGGGCTTCCTGGCTGAGCTTCTGAGGCTGCATTGCTAATGCACCTAGGATTCCACTTAAGGAAACCCCGGCTCTGAGGTCGGAGATAATTTCCTTTCCTTGGAAAACGTAATTGTCATTTATCATTTCCTTTTAGGAAAGGTTTTTCTCTTTGCCTCCCTCCTATACACTCTTTTTATGACTTAGGCCATTAGAGGGAGGGCGCTGGGTGGCTATACCTGAGCACAATGGAAACCTGCATGATGGCTGGAGCGTCCCTAGACTGGGCCTGACCTGCTTTGAGTTCATCACGTCTCTTTTATTCATAGCGTCAAACAGCATGAGCGCTACGGCCAGTTGACTCTGGTCAATTCCACATCGGCTGACACGGGCGAATTCAGCTGCTGGGGCCAGGTCTGCAACGGCTACATCTGCAGGAGGGACGAGGCCAAAACGGGCTCCACCTACATCTTTTTTACAGGTAAAAATGTTCGGTGCATCAGCGAGGCTCTTCCAACTTCTGGACTTGGCCCACCAGAACGGAAGGTTCCCACTACACGTTGAGTAGCAAAGAATGACAATAAGAACACACGCTGCTTGCCAGGCCCTGGGCTACATCCTTTACATTAATTATTTATTGTTTCATGCAAGTCTTACAGTGAGCCTTAGAGTAAATACTAACATCATTTCCATTTTTTTTTTCCAGATAGGGAAGCAGAGGTTTAGAGGTTAAATCCTTAAGGTCACATGACAAGGAAGTAGTGGTAGCAGGATTTGAACACAGAACTGTCTGATTCCAGGGTCTGCACCTGTAATGTCCAATATGGTAGCCACTGGACACATGTGACTACTTACATGAAAATTAAAATGAAATAAAATTTAAAACAGTTTCTTAGTGCACTTGCCACATTTCAAGTGTTCAGTGGAGACACGTGGCTACTGGCTATTGTACCAGACAGCACAGATAGAGAATGTTTTTTTTTATCACAGAAAGTTCTTTCGGTTGGCATTGCTGCTGACTTTCCATCACCATGCTCTCAGAACCTGTGATGAGCTCCTTGCTAGCAACTCCATAATTACGATTCTCTGCTAAAGATCTCTTCCCGTTTGTTCTTAGGGGTACTATGGGCTGAGGTTTGGGGGGCAGGATTCCCAAATGGTGGTGGTCCTTCAGGGCTCCAGTCCCTGTCCCTGAGCCTAGGTGGGGTGCCTGAAAACATGCAGGTTACAGTGGAGAACTCTTTCCCCCACAACACGGGGTACACATTTGCATGGTGGAGCTTGCACTTTGAGAAAAGGGCCTTGCAGAGTAGCTGTTCAGCCTCTTTCCTCTGCAGAGTTTTCTAAGCTGAAGTTTAGGGAATGAAGTTCTCCAACAAGGTCAGGGGGCAGGCACAGCTTTCAGGAATCTTGCAAATTCCACGCCCAGGTTCTGTGGCCCTTGAGGCATTTCAGGGCAATCCACAATCCTAAAGCCTGAATCCACTTACCTTTCAGACCTAGAATGACTTAGGCCTACGACCCAAGTAATCTTATGCCCTGGCCATTAATGCTTCACCAAAATCTCGTGTGTTTTTCCCCTTCCTGCCCAAATAACTCCTCTCTGGCACGAAGATGCAGTAGCAGGGCCTGCTACAATTCTGGAAGCACATGTATCTCATTTCTACAATACTCCTGGGAAATAAACAAAAGCTATTTTTCTCTATTTTGGAAATAATAAAGCTGATGTGGAGACTCAGTGTTCCATGACTTGTAGTGGCAGAGGAAGGAGTCCAACGCTGGTTTTCTGACCCAGGATTCAGTGTTCCTACTGCCTTGAACCCTTTTGTAGGACAAGGTTGGACTGACAGCCAGACACCAGCTGGCAAAACTGGTGTTGTCAGGAGAATTGCTAAACAGGTGTTCATGGGCAATCCCTTTGGATCTTCATTTTGGAATATGCTACACAGAATTGCCCGTGTCTCCTTTGTATAATGCCACGCTGTGAAGCAACAGTGGCAAAGGCAACCAATGAAAACTAATAAAAGTCTACTGTTACAGACTGGACTGATGCCATATTGCAAATTGCAGAATGAAGACTCTTGCCAAAATGAGCACTGTTGTGTCTTCCCAAAATACTGGTCAGGATTTTGAACTGTAGGTTTTGCTGGAGCAGAATGTCCTACTAAGGTTATGGGCTCCCTTTGAGTTTTGGAGGCAAGTCCCCTTTCTTAATTTACTGAAGTCTCTTTGTGGATCAAAGGAAGTGTAAAACATACTTCAACTATCAAGACACCTGGTTCAGGAGGGAGGTTGCCTTATTTTTTTTTTTGTTTTTTTTTAATCCTCAACACTATGCCAGGAGTCCAGTTGGATTTATAGTACAGACTTTAGCAATTTGTCTTTTCAAGCATGGGTGGGTTTGAAAATCCAAGATGGGCCGTCACAGAAGCTGAGGGTTCCCATCTTTGGCTCCAGATTCTTTCAGAACATATGTTTCCCAGCCACCCATGTAGAGAAACGTCTGTGATTCATTATGTTTGTATGTTTCCTCTAGTGAAGCTTCTTTGGGGGGCGGGGGCACTGACTGATGTTAATTTGTGCAAGTTTTGCTTAAGCAACTGCCACATGCATTTCCTCTTTCATCTTTATTCAGAAGAATTTTGGAGGGGTTCATCCCCCCTTTTTCTCTTCTTAATTGACATATAGCATATGTAAAGAAAAACACTCAAATCCTAAGCATACAACTCAATAAATTATCTTCAGGTGAACAGACACGTGGACCTACTACTGCCCCCAGCAAGTATGAGAACGTCACCAGGGATGGATGGGGCTATCGCAGTAAAAGGCTTGGGCTCTAATTTTCATATGTAGGAAAACAACATTAACAAGTTAATTGCCTTATTAAATATTGAGTTTGCTATCATTCGGTTTTCGTTTATAGCCACCTAACTTTATTTTTTTTTGGAAATATAAAATCCCATGTGCTCACTTTTCTTACAGTAATATGTTTGTCATCTACGTAAGTGGCTATAAATACACTTGCAGGGGACATATGTCATCTCTAACTTTTAAAATGAACTTGAACACATTTTGTTTTTGTAGATGGAAGCTACTCATTGCAAACACATTTTTAAAGCAATGGGTGTGGCCACTTCTTTCAAAGCAAGTATTAAAGTACAAGAAGTCAGATGACAGTTGTGTTCTGCAATTCGGATGGTTCACGTACTCTACTGGCTTTGGTTATTGGTTCAGATTACTCTACAGACCCTTACTTAAAGCAAAAGTTGCCTCTAAATCTTATAATCATAAAAGCCTGAAGAGTTATTGCTAAAAAGACATCTTTAATATTACCTATGCCAGATTCTTCTCTTTACGAATGGGGATATGGAAGCCCAGGGAGATTAACACGTTCAAGGTCACGTGGACTGACTCCGTGTGAACACGTGAATCTCGGGCACATTAACAAAGGTGCCTCTGCCCGAGCCTGAAAGTCAGTTTGTCATAAAGTAGCACAAATCACCCGGACTGATATCAAGCCTTGCAAAAGATAGATTCTTGCTGAGCTAGGACATAATGTTTCCTAATCTTGGAGCCGGGGAAAAAAGAACCTCCACGTTAGTGAACTTGTTAACCATAGCCCAAGAACTCTTGGCCCATGAAGACATTTGATGTTGTGTCCAGGAATTCTGTCCCCTAACCTAAAACACCATACAACCGTGACACAGAGGTGGCTAGTGGAGGAGAAATCAAGAATAATTTGTTTCAGAAACATTGCAGGGAAAACACAGGAAACGATTTTAACAAGTGTTGGGGTGCATTAGCTTCCAAAGATTTCTCTTAGCAATTACTATAATATTCCCTCATAGAATGATCCAGAAGACAAAAGATTTAATGTGCCAAATGGGGGGGGGGAAGAAAATAGAAAACCAACTATCAAAAAATAAATAAAACCCAAAAGCCCAACCCAGAGTCCCTTGACCAGGCGTCCTCAAACTATGGCCCACAGGCCACACACAGGTGGTTTTGCCCGTTTTTTACTTCAAAATAAGATATGTGCATAGGAATTCGTTCATAGTTTTTTTTTTTTTAAACTATAGTCCGACCCTCCAACGGTCTGAGGGACAGTGAACTGGCCCACTGTTTAAAAAGTTTGAGGACCCCTGCCTTGACTGTCCTAAGGACAGTGTGGGGAAGCCAGTCCTCATTTCTGTGAGATAAAAGTACCATCAGCCGGGCGCGGTGGCTCATGCCTGTAATCCTAGCTCTCTGGGAGGCCGAGGCGGGTGGATTGCTCGAGGTCAGGAGTTCGAAACCAGCCTGAGCAAGAGCGGGACCCCATCTCTACTATAAATAGAAATTAATTGGCCAACTAATATATATAGAAAAAATTAGCCAGGCATGGTGGCGCATGCCTGTAGTCCCAGCTACTCGGGAGGCTGAGGCAGGAGGATCGCTTGAGCCCAGGAGTTTGAGGTTGCTGTGAGCTAGCCTGACACCACGGCACTCACTCTAGCCTGGGCAACAAAGGGAGACTCTGTCTCGGAAAAAAAAAAAAAAAAAAGTGCCATCATCTAAAGCTTAAAGAACCAGGCAGAGTGTGATTTCAGAGGAAACGGGGAGTGTAAAAGACTAGCTGGAGGTCCCCAGCCAGGGGGTGGCCAAGCTGAACCCAGACTGGAGACCTATGGGTTCCTTGTCCATCCCATTTCCTTCCACTAACCTTGGCAGGTGCCAGGTCCTCTGGGCCGTGAGTGTGGGGACAGGCTGAGGACACTGTCACTGTGCGGGACCTCCTAGAGGAGCTCCAGTCAAGGTTTAAAACTGCTCTTAAGGAAATCAGCTTCCTTCCCTGCTTCCTCGGGGCCATGATCCATGGGCCCTATTTGGGCTTGAACTACCTACCTTTTTTTGTTTCTTTTAAGGAGATGGATAGTAAAAATCAGTCTTCCAGAAAATGAGAAGCATTTTTTTTTTTTTTTTTTTTGGAGAGAGAGTCTCGCTTTGTTGCCCAGGCTAGAGTGAGTGCCGTGGCGTCAGCCTAGCTCACAGCAACCTCAAACTCCTGGGCTCGAGTGATCCTTCTGCCTCAGCCTCCCGGGTAGCTGGGACTACAGGCATGCGCCACCATGCCCGGCTAATTTTTTATATATATATCAGTTGGCCAATTAATTTCTTTCTATTTATAGTAGAGACGGGGTCTCGCTCTTGCTCAGGCTGGTTTTGAACTCCTGACCTTGAGCAATCCGCCCGCCTCGGCCTCCCAAGAGCTAGGATTACAGGCGTGAGCCACAGCGCCCGGCCAGCATTTTTTTTTTTTAAAAAATCAGCTATTTATGTTCACTAGGACTCAGTATTCCGAGTATATTGCCAGAATCCTTAAGGCACTCTGGGCTCATCGCTCCAGAGTCAATAAACCTGTGTCTTCCTCTTTGCAGAGAAAGGAGAACTCTTTGTGCCGTCTCCCAGCTACTTCGACGTTGTCTACTTGAACCCGGACAGAGAGGCCGTGGTTCCTTGTCGGGTGACGGTGCTGTCCGCAAAAGTCACCCTCCACAGGGAGTTCCCGGCCAAGGAAATCCCCACCAATGGAACGGACATCGTTTACCACGTGAAGCGAGGCTTCGTGTACCTGCAGCCCCACGCCGACCAGCAGGGGGTGGTCTACTGCAAGGCGGAGGCCGGGGGCAAGTCGCAGATCTCCGTCAAGTACCAGCTGCTCTACGTGGAGGGTGAGCCTGCGCCAGCCCTGCCTGGATACTGGTCACCTCCATGGCTGGGGTCGGGCATGCTGTTCCCTGTCAGGGGGCATGGTGTTCCCTGTTAGGGGGCATGCTGTTCCCTGTCAGGGGGCATGCTGTTCCCTGTTAGGGGGCATGGTGTTCCCTGTTAGGGGGCATGGTGCTCCCTGTCAGGGGGCATGCTGTTCCCTGTCAGGGGGCATGCTGTTCCCTGTTAGGGGGCATGCTGTTCCCTGTTAGGGTGGGAACTCATGGCGCGGGATGAGAAAGAATTCTCAACACAAAGATTAAAATAGAAAGAAGTAAAAAGTTTATTTTACTTTTCCCTGAGAGAAAGGGGAAAGGATTTGGCACATGGAAGGAAGAAAGAGTGTGGCTGGATGGTTAAGGGGCTGGGCTTTTCGGGGGGAAAAAAGGAAAAATAAAAGTGTTGCCAGCTGATAGCAGAAAATGGCAGCATCTGTTTTTCCTTTTTTTTCTCTCTCTCTCTCTCTCTGAGGCTGGCTTATCAGACTGGTTGGAATGTGGGCTGGCGGGAACTGGGGACACATCAGCCTCTAACTGCTCTGTTCTTTTCAAGGGCTGTGAAAACAAACTCTTGAGAGGCCGCAGGTGGTTTATCTTCAAGAGGACAAGTTAAGCCACAGCTGGTTAAACAAAGGGGCAGTTGTGTTGTGGTCTTTCTCTTCAAAGGGGCAATTGTGGGTTGAGGTTTCTTTCTGTGGGTTTATTTTTCTCTGTTAGTTTATAACCAAGGACATGAAGTCCTGTGGTTCCCTACCTACTAGGGGGCACCGGACGCTGTTTTTTAAAGGTTACCCTTTTTGCACGGCTGCTTCTGGAATGTTCTGCCCCCTCTGACACCCCTCTCCTCCCTTCCTGCCAGATCCTTCCATCCTTCCCTCTGGTGCTGCCTGTGTGTCTGATCAGCAGGTCCCCTCCGTACCCGGCCTCCTTGGGAGCATCCTCCCGGCTTCCTGGTTTTGACCCAAATCTGCCGTCTCCCAAGGGCACCGTCCCCTGCCCACCTCGAGGCTGGCGTCCTTCTTGTGCCTGTTCCCGAGCCTTGGTGTCTCCCCTTCTGCTGGGAGCCTCCACTCCTCCCGCGGTCGCATCTCCCTTCCTGTCGCTCCCCTCTGTTCCTTAACATGTTGGCACCCGGCCCGCTGTCCCCCGGCCACCCCGGCCATCCTCAGGGTGACCTGGAACTCACTAACTGCCCTGTCCGCTCCACCCCATCGCGACATGACCCCAGCTGACCCCAGCTCCGGCCACAGGCTCGTGTCTTCCCGGACTGTTCCCTCAGTGCCCCCACCTGTCCCCAGGCCCCCACCTGTCCCCAGGCCCCCACCTGTCCCCGGCTTAGATCCGGGTCTCATCGTAGCCGCGCTCCGCCGACGCTGCACACCTTGCCCCTCTGCACTTCCCTCCTGCCTGTTCGGGAAAAATCCCTCCTAGATGAATGTGACCGTCCGTCTACACCATCCTGTGTCCCTGCGCCCCTGTTGCCCAAACACTTGGGTTGTTCAGCGGGCGAGTGACAAAGGGCTGTCCGACTCTCTGGGTGTCCATCTGTAGTTTCGGTCACTTGCAGCCAGCGAGCGCCGAGAATAACCCCTGAAGCAGCGTCTGCCCCAGGGACAGTGGGCGGGGCTTTTACAGTAGAGAAAGGCGTGTCCTCAAGTGCAGGGGCGGAGTTTCACTTGCGCACGCGTGGTTGTCACATGACCATGCAGTGTTATGATAACGAAGCTATAGCTACTTCCGGGTGGAGACTTTAGCATTGTCATGAGTAAAGTTCACCAGTGCTCACCTACAGGTGGCCAGGGTCTGTCGGGCTGGTGTCAGCCTGCTGTGAGTAGCCAGGTAGCATGAGCCACCACACCTGACTAATTTTTTTTAAAAAAAAATTTTGTAGACATGGGGTCTTGCTATGTTGTCCAGACTGGTCTCAAACTCCTAAGCTCTAGTGATCCTCCTGCCTTGGCCTCCCAAAGCGCTAGGATTACAGGCATGAGCCACTGTACCCTGCCTTGTGTGTCCTCCTTGGATCCAAGCTGCAGTGTGGTCTGAGAAATGCTAGAGTCCTGAAGGGTCTGTGTCCCTCCAATCTCATCTCTGGTGCATGTGGCAACCAGAAACTGACAGCAGGGACACAACTTGGGCCCCCTTGCCTCCTGGCGGCCCCGGCCTAGGCTGATGGCACAGGGGTGTGGCCAGTGAGGCGAGCCACAACACGTGGTTCTCTTAGGTCCCTCCCCCTCGAATTGCTGGGGCGCAGGCACCCCCTGGGCAGCCCCTGCAGGGCAGGAGAGGAAATGGTTTGTCTTTGTATACTGTAGTCCCTCAAAGGTGACTTCTGTCTCTCTGAGAAGTCTCAGCCTGACGAGGGCGTGTGGGCTGGGGGCAGAGTCCCTGCTACCTACCACAGTGGCGTCCGGCCGGCAGCCCTGTGGAGGGATGAGGGGCCCCAGGAGCTGGTGGCCCTCTGGAATTAGCATTGAGGCTCCCTTGAGCCTTTTGTTCTCAGCCATGGCGTTCTCAGTGGCCCCAATGCTCTGTTAACAAATGACTCTAGCAGCCCTGCTTTGACCCCTCAGGCTCCCTGGGGCCATTGCCCTTTCCTGGCCCATCCGAGTCCCTGTCACCCCCCTCCCTTCCTCCCACCCAAATGGCTCTGGCCAAGGTTGCCAGGGCCTCCCATGCCGTTAGCTCCAGCAGGCAATGCCTGTTGTCTCCTGCAGGAAACCGCCTCCGCCCTGCCCCGCTCTCCCCGGCCCCAACTGTCACTCTGCTTTGTCAGCTCGCTGCCTTCCGTCAGCTTTTTGGCATCAAAACTCCACAAGCACCTTCTTTCTCACTCCTGGTCTCTTCTGGGGCAGCCTGCACCCTCTCCCTGGCTCCATTTCACGCGTGTGTGCTCTAACTCCCAGATGGACACGTGTGTGGCCCAGACCCGGGTGCCGGGTTCCCTTGTCCCACCGTCCAGCTAGCACCTGCGCATGGAGGCCTCACAGCCCTTCCAACTCCTTGTCTCACTCCTGAACCTCCCAGGGTCTTCCTCCCAACCTGGTTCTTCTGCCTTCTCTGCCCCCATGATGGCACCTCAGTCACCCAGGCCTGTGGCTGCCACTCAAGCCTGACCATCCTTTTCTTCCCAGTCCTCTCTACTCTTTTCATTAAATCAATTGCAAATCCTGTCTCTCTCCATCCTCACTGCAAAAAAGGGTTCACGCTGTCATTTCTTACCAGGACTAATGTGAATATCCTTTGTCATTGATCTTCCTTATGGTCCCCCCCCCCCTTTTTTTTTTTTAATCCATTTCCCACACTGTAGATGATTGTAATTCCTATTACCCCATTCGGTAGGTTCCCACTTCTCCCAGAACCAGATTCTAGAATCCTCTGTGTTCTCACTGGACCTGCCTCTGCCCTCCTCCCCCAGCCTGGTGGCACCCCTCCCTGCCCAGCCTGTGTGTACCATTCCACGCCCTCACCTCGGGGCTGTGCATACAGTGTTCCTGTCCATGTCTTTAAACTCCCCCCCCCCCCGAGATTTTAGTTCAAACGTTACTTCCCCAAAGTTGTCTTTTCCGGGCTCTCAGACTATCCTGAACTTTCAGAGCACTCTGGGCATCTGCATCATAGCTCTTAACACAATTAAAATTTTTTTTTTTTTTTGAGACAGAGTCTCACTCTTGTTGCCCCCCGGCGTCAGCCTAGCTCGCAGCAACCTCAAACTCCTGGGCTCACGCGAAGATCTTTTGCAGGCCTGCTTCCTGAATGTCTGCCCCTCTGAACCCCTCTCCTCCCTTCCTGCCAGATCCTTCCATCCTTCCCTCTGGTGCTGCCTGTGTGTGTTGATCAGCAGGTCCCTCCGTACCCAGCCTCCTTGGGAGCATCCTCCCGCTTCCTGGTTTTGACCCAAATCTGCATCTCCCAAGGGCATGTCCCCTGCCACCTCGAGGCTGGCGTCCTTCTTGTGCCTGTTCCCGAGCCTCGGTGTCTCCCTTCTGCTGGGGCTCCACTCCTCCGCGTCCATCTCCCTTCTGTGCCCTCCGTTCCTCATGTTGGCACCCGCCGCTGTCCCCACGGCACCCGGCCGATCTCAGGGTGACCTGGACTCACTAACTGCCCTGTCCGCTCCAGCCCACTCGCGACATGACCCCAGCTGACCCAGCCTCGCCAGGCTCGTGTCTTCCGGACTGTTCCTCAGCTGCCCACCTGTCCCCAGGCCCACTGTCCCAGGCCCCACCTGTCCCGGCTTAGATCCGGGTTCATCGTAGCCGCGCTCCGCGCGACGCTGCACACCTTGCCCTCTGCACTTCCTCCTGCCTGTTCGGAAAAATCCCTCCTAGATGAATGTGACCGTCCGTTCTACACCATCCTGTGTCCCTGCGCCCTGTTGCCAAAGACTTGGTTGTTCGGGGGCGAGTGACAAAGGGCTGTCGACTCTCTGGGTGTGGATCTGTAGTTTCGGTCACTTGCAGCCAGCGAGCGCCGAGAATAACCCTGAAGCAGCGTCTGCCCGGACAGTGGGCGGGCTTTACAGTAGAGAAAGGCGTGTCCTCAAGTGCAGGGGCGGAGTTTCACTTACGCACGCGTGGTTGTCACATGACCATGCAGTGTTATGGTAACGAAGCTATAGCTACTTCCGGGTGGAGACTTTAGCATTGTCATGAGTAAAGTTCACCAGTGCTCACCTATAGGTGGCCAGGGTCTGTCCGGCTGTGTCAGCCTGCTGTGAGTAGCCAGGTAGCATGAGCCACCACACCGTGACTAATTTTTTTTAAAAAAATTTGTAGACATGGGGTCTTGCTATGTTGTCCAGACTGGTCTCAAACTCTAAGCTCTAGTGACCTCCTGCCTTGGCCTCCCAAAGCGCTAGGATTACAGGCGTGAGCCACTGTACCTGCTTGTGTGTCCTCCTTGGATCCAAGCTGCAGTGTGGTCTGAGAAATGCTAGAGTCCTGAAGGGTCTGTGTCCCTCCAATCTCATCTCTGGTGCATGTGGCAACCAGAAACTGACAGCAGGGACACAACTTGGGCCCCCTTGCCACTGGCGGCCCGGCCTGTGTGATGGCACAGGGGTGTGGCCAGTGAGCAGAGCCATCACACGTGGTTCTCTTAGTTCCCTCCCCCTCGAATTGCTGGGGCAAGGCACCCCTGGGCAGCCCTGCAGGGCAGGAGAGGAAATGGTTTGTCTTTGTACACTGTAGTCCCTCAAAGGTGACTTCTGTCTCTGAGAAGTCTCAGCATGACGAGGGTGTGTGGGCTGGGGCAGAGTCCCTGCTACCTACCACAGTGGCGTCCGGCTGGCAGCCCTCTGAGGGAGGAGGGGCCCACGAGCTGGTGGCCCCTGGAATTAGCATTGAGCTCCTTGAGCCTTTGTTCTCAGCATGGCGTTTCAGTGGCCAATGCTCTGTTACCAAATGACTCTAGCAGCCCTGCTTTGACCCTCAGGCTCCTGGGGCATTGCCTTTCCTGGCCATCCGAGTCCCTGTCACCCCCTCCCTTCCTCCACCCAAATGGCTCTGCAAGGTTGCCAGGGCCCCCATGCCATTAGCTCCAGCAGGAACTGCCTCCGCCGCCCCGCTCTCCCCGGCCCAACTGTCACTCTGTTTTGTCAGCTCGCTGCTTCCCTCAGCTTTTTGGCATCAAGCTCCACAGCACCTTCTTTCTCACGCCTGTCTCTTCGGGAGCCTGCACCTCTCCCTGGCTCTGCTTCACGCGTGTGTGCTCTAACTCCTAGATGGACACGTGTGCCAGACCAGGTGCCGGGTTCCCTTGTCCCACTGTCCACTAGCCCTGCATGTGGAGCCTCACAGCCCTTCCAACTCCTTGTCTCACTCCTGAACCCCCAGGGGTCTTCCTCCCAGCCTGGTTCTGCCTTCTCTGCCCCCGTGATGGCACTCAGTCACCAGGCCTGTGGCTGCCAGTCAAGCCTGACCATGCCTTTTCTTCCCAGTATCTCTCTAC